TTTTGATTGTGTGTAATAATACTGGGCAGTCTTTTATCTGTGCTGAGAAACACTTTTTAATATTTCATATTAATAAAATTTAGTTATTTGATCATAATATTTTTGTAATGGTCAATATTAATTTCATGAAAATCTTCCAGTTTCTTGCCATGAATCATGCTAAAAATATCTCACTAAAATAATATATTTTATATTTTTAAAAAAAGCTTAGGTTCACAGCAAAAAATAGCAGAGACACTGAAGGATACCATGTTCTTTTGACCCCATCCCTATTATCCACACAAGAGTAGTGCATGTTATAACTGATAAACTTACATGGCCGTGTCGCTGGCACCCAAGTCCACAGTGTGCGTTAGAGTCAGTGGAAAAAATCTCCAAATAGTGATTACATAACACACTTCTCAAGATGTCTAAAAACATTCTGAGAGAAACTTAAAAATAATGAAAACTAAAAGAAAATGAAACTATAACTTGCTAACAGAGTGTTGCAAACATGGTACTTAGAAATATAGCACATGAATAGTTACGATTTTATTTTATAAAATCACTAATTGTAATGTATTGGTAGCTGGGTCCTTTTGAATTGAAAAAGTTTCTTGCATGTGTCACTCTTTAGGTTTGTGTAAATGGTCAGTGTGTAGAAGCAAGAATAATAAAGAATGAGTCATCTGTATGTACACAGCAATGCAATGGACATGGAGTAAGTAAATATTCATTTCCTTTAGCTATATCTCTCTTGGATGCTTTTTAACATCACTTGTTAATTTATCAATGAGGTTCCTACTCTGTGTAAGGCCTTGTTGTATCCAGCTTCTATGTAGAGCTGAACTGAGTAACTAAATTCAGCAGCTCAACACTGTATTGCGTTGAAATGCTGACGCCATAAAAAAATGGAACTGGGCACTTTTCAAAAATATTCTAGGCCTGGGGCCATAGCTCGGCAGCATAAGTGCCTGCCTGGCAAACGCAAGGTCCTGAGTTCAGTCCTCACGTGCTATTCTGCCCTGAAACCAAGCATGGTAGAGCACACCTGTAATCCCGCTGCTGGGGAGGCTGAGGCAGGAGGATCATTACAAGTCTGGACTGTGTAGCAAGACCCTATATCAACAACAACAACAATAACAAAATTCTAATACAGTTAATTTGTTCACAAAAGGAAGACTATTACTGCCTTTTAGAATACATAGAATCATGAAAAACATTATTTTGTTTGGCTTTTTAAAAATATTGTTTTTTAAAGAGTTCTATATTGATAGCAAAGTTGAGTGAAGTAGATAGATTTTGCATAAACTGCTTTCACTTCAGTTATACACAGCTTCCTCCAATTTCAACATCTCATACCAGAGGGTCAGTTTTTTTTTTTTTTTTTTCCAGTACTGGGGATTGAACTCAGGAGCCTGCACTTGCCAGGCAAGTGCTTATTCTACTGAGCTATTGCCCAGGACCCAGTTTATTGTAATTGATGTTGCATATCCACAGAGCATCATCCAGTTAGTATACTAAAGGGTTCACTCTTGGTGTTGACAAATAATATGTTTTTGACCAATATGTGATGACATGCATGCACTATTGTAATTTTTTTTATTTATTTTTTTATGTGTGTGTGTGTGTGTGTGTGTGTGTGTGTGTGGCCAGCTCAGTCCACCAGGGGGCGCGGCTGGCTGGCATGTGGGGCTGGGGGATTGAACCGTGGTCCCTGTGCTTTGCTAAGCTTGTTCTAAGTAGGTGCTTTAGACCACTGAGCCATCTCACCAGCCCCAACATGCACTATTATAAACAATGTTCAGAACACCCTAAAAACCTGTGCCCCAACCCTTCATACTTTCTTTTCTTTTTTTGGTGGTACCAGGGATTGAACTCAGGACCTTGAAAGCACTTATTCCACTGAGTTATCTCCCTGGCCCCATGTTCTTTAACTTATGACAAGACATGATATTTTTACTCTCTCCATATTTTTTCCTTTTCCAGTATGTCATGCTTTGTTTTAGTATGGCTTCTTTTTTCTTTTTCTTTTTCTTTTTTTTTTTTTTTTTTTTTTTTTTTTTTGGCTTGGTGACATGCATGCAAATTTCCTACAGGTCTTTTTATGTCCCAGAAACTTTTTTTATAATAAGGATTCTTTGAAGAAAAGTTTCAGGTTCATAGCAAAATTTAGAGTAAGATACTGGTATTTTCCATATACTTCTTCCTTAAAACTAATATAGCCATCTTCACTGTCAACATGTTTCTCATGAATGGTGCAGTTGTTACAATGGACAGATCTCTACAAGCCCTTCCTTACCTAATGCCACCCAGTACATCAGGGTTCTCTCTTTGAGTTGTACATTCTGTTCATTTTGTCATATATAGCAACACTTTTACCCAATATTGTATTGAAGTACTTTCACTACTCTGAAAGACTTCTAAAATTGACCTTTTCATCTTTTAGTGATCCTCAATCCCTGATAGACAAGTTTTACAATATTCACAGCTCTTCCTTTTTAGAGTACGATATTATTGAAATCTCACATTATAGGCTTTCTAAAGCACTTAGTAGTATGCACTTAAAGTCCCTCTTTATTATCGTGAGAACTTCTTTCTTTAATGCTACATAATATTTATTTGTCGGAATGTACCACACTCGTGTATTCATTCACCTACTGAAAACCATCATAGTTGCTTTAAGATTTTAACAGTAGGAATAAAACTTCTGTAAGCATGCATGTGAAGTTTGTTTGTGTAAAGGACATTGTTTTTTTTAACTCTTCCTGATAAATCCCAATGATTTCACTAAGATCAAATGTGAAAGTATGTTGTATATTATAAGAAACTGCCAATATTTTTCGTCGAGTGGCCACACCACTTTTTGATCACACTAGAAGTGAATGAGAGTCATTTTTGCCCTGCATCTAGTCAGGGTTTTATGTTAGTGTTGTGCATTTGTGCCATCCTAATAGGTGTGGAAGTGTGTCTTCCTATTGCTGTAGTTCATAGTTCCCAGATGACACATGGCACAGCAGAGCAACTTTTTATACACTTACCTGCTCTCTGTCTGTCTTTTCTGGTGAAGGGCCTCTTCATGGCTTTGCTTACTTTTAAATTGGGTTACTGGTTTTCTTATTGTAAGGTTTTAAGAGTTTTTGTTTCTTTTGCATAATAGCTTTGTAGCTGAATGTCTTTTGCAAACATGTTCTTTGCAACATTTTTCAGAGGACAAGCACTTCCTTTTATGTAGTTCAGTACTCAGCTCTTGATTTTCTGGATTTCCTAAGCACTAGTAAAAGGGGAGGCCCAATCTCACCACGCATTCAGTGTAGAACTGGAAGGTTTATTCAGAGTGATGAGGCAGGGGGAAGAAAGCAAAAGCCTAATGATATAAAAGGGGAAATTAAGTGTCCTATGTACGAATAGTATGATTTTCTGAGTAAAGATACCTAAAGACTACTAGAACCAACAAATAAATTTAGCAAAGTTGCAGCATGCAAAATCAATGTACAAAACATAGCACTTTTATACACTAATAATATACTTACTGAGAAATAATTCATTTAAAAAAACCCATTCAGGGCCTGGGGAGATAGCTCAGTAGAATAAGCACTTGCCTGGCAAGGGCGACGTCATGAGTTCAATCCCTGGAAACCCCCCAAAACAAAAACAAAAAACATTCAAATGGGAGGTATAAAAATAATGTCAATGGAATGTGGTTCATCGAGTAAAATACAATATATAATTAACTGAATAATTAAAATGTAATAAATAAAAGTATTAGGTATTACATAAATAGTAATATTTATTATATTATTGTAATAACTGCATAAATGAATGGAGAAAAGAAAATACTTCCTTACATAATAATCAAGTGGAAGAAATAAAGCAATATAATATTTATCAGTGGATGCTAAAATGAATGGGCAAAGGTTTTAGGAGAGATATATGTACTTAAATTTTAAAATATCTACCTACAAATTACATACTAATTACAAGTGGCAGCTTAGTAACTTTGCAGTGGAAAAACTTGCAGGCAGCACCTTGATCTTGTTCTAAGTGAAGATGTAATATTAGGACAAACTGACAGTGACGTAAGTGATAAAATATTGTATTTATAATACTTTCTACAGTTGTAAAAAGTATTTCTGTGTTTCAAGGTAAAATATTCACATTCTTACACTAAGATTAAGTTCTAAGTAAGGCCCCAGAAATGGCACAGTGGTCAAAATCAAAGCCTCTGAAACTAGATTGCCTGTAAGTCCTGCTTTACTTTTGACAATTTAAATAAATGTATTTTCATTTTTCATCTGTCAGGAGGGGATAATAATAATCTCCATCACAATGGGCTGTTGGTAGATTTAATGAATAAACCTATTTGAAGTATTTAGAGTAAAAACTCAGAGAAGGGAAGCACAATAAATGTGTGCTGTCATTTCTTAATTACTGTTGCATTTATCAGCTATTGATATCATCACTTTCTATTGTTATACTGTATCTAAGTATCTGATGTTCTTTTGGATTAAGAAAAGTTTTTGCTGAAAAATCAAATCAGCTAGTACAAGCAAAACAAAACCTCATCCTGGTGAAGGGCGCTTTAATGCTAGTAAGTGTTTGAAAGCAGGCCAGGGAGGTGTTGGTTCTTTTATGTAGGTGCAGATATTTCCAACTGCCATCCTGTCATCCCTGTGCATGGGCCTGGGAAGAGATGGATCCAGTCAGTCTGCTCTGGCAGCCAGAGCTGCTCACCAAAGAAACAGCACAGGAGAGGGGTCTCTTCACTTTAGAACTTAAGTAGAGTGTGGCTTTGTAGTCATACATGAAATATGTAGGTAAACATTTGAAGATGTTACATTTCTTGATGCAAATGAGAGCCTCACTTTATAGCTCTTTCATGCATAT